AGCAAGAACCCCCCTCAGATTTCTCCCCGCCAGGCTCTGCCTTCGTTTATATTACTCTCAGGCCCCAAAGGGTTGTAATACCTGAAAAAATGGAGTCTGGTTACCAGAAATAGCTACTTTCAGGCAAAGGAACACAATATGGATGAAAGGGCTCCCCAGGGGCCAAACTGGCCTTCCGAGAATTAATATGTCAATGGAATAATCATCTTATTTTAAAATAATCACAGGTGCGGTTTATTCGCAACTGTTCTGATAGGCCTCATAAAGGGAGAAACCCTTTGGGCTGCGCACATCTCTTGAGGAGACATTTTTCAGTGCATTTTCCTGACTTTCCGTTCTTTCTCTGAGGAGTCATGCTTTGAGTGTGAGCTAGATGCTGGAGGCCAGGGCAAAGCCTGACACCACTGGGAAAACACAGGGCCTTGAGTCAACCCTGCTTCGTGACTTGAAGGTGCCCTAGTCGCAGAGCTGTTGTGTGTTGGGCTATGATCCACACAGTCAGCAGTTCGAAACCACCAGCTGCTCTGCAGGAGATGAGGGTTTCTACTTCTGTGAACACTGACAGTGTCGGAAGCTCCAAGGGGGCAGTCTGCCGGGTTGCTATGGGTTGGCATCAACTCGGTGGCAGTGAGTTTAGGGGGTTTATTTGGTTGTAACTTGGGGCCTGCTCCTAATCTTCTTCCATCTTAGGGTCATCTTATACAATTGGGGAGAGCAGAATCATTATTTGTGCAGTTAATATCAGCTGCCTCCCAACCTGGTAAATGACTGTCACCATGAGCATAATTTTCAAGTAAAGACTGCTGGACCACTTAATGCCCATAGGAACAAGCGTCAGTCTAAGGTGCCCGGATTTCGTGAGGCACTCTCCCACACCCCATTCCATATGATGGCCACATCGATGCAGCCACTCTCACCTTAGAGATGAGATCAGAGAACAAGAGTGACTTGGCCAAGCTCATGAAGCGATAGGCAGAGATCAAGGGCTTTGATCCAGGCCTGGTGAGTGTCAAGTCCTGCGTCTTTCTGGAACACAACCTGTTCTGTTTGGATGCTTAGGGACAGATTCTTGGTCCAGGGAACCAACTGACCCATTGACTTCTACCGTCTCTTCCAATGCTAATCATCAGTATTTCTATCAAGAAAAGGAGGGAGCTGGATTAATTCTGAGGCTTTAAAACTTGTAGTGTTCCTTTCAAGTGAAATCAAATATACCACAAAAAGATAGAAAGTAGATCACTGCAGCGCCCCTGTGGTCGAGAAAGGATAGCTTCGGCCTACAAACTCTTTAGCGGATGAATGGATAAACCCAACATGGTGCATCTACACACTGGAGAATGATTCAACAGCGAAAAGGAACAGTACTGACACATGCTGTACAACATGAGCAAACTTGGAAACGTTATGCTAAGTGAGATGAGCCACACCCCGCAGGGCAGGTACAGTCTGGTTTCAGCTCTGTGAATGGGCGGCCGATCAGTGACTACAAGGGCCCTGGGAGCGAAGAACGAGGAATGACTGCATAGTGAGCATGGTGTTTCCTTTTGGGGTGAAGAACGTGTGTTAGAACTAGACAGAGGTGATGGTCGTACAAGTCGTGGATGGTACTAAATGCCATTGGCCTTTTGATTTTAAAAGGGTTCACTTGGTGTTACGTGAAGTTCGCCGCAACAGAAATAACAAATACCATCAGCCTCCCTTTCCTATTGCCCATGGTGCCTCCACCAAGCTCCAGTATGAAAATCATTGGTGTTATTAGATATGACAAATGATTATCATACACTAGATCTTGCACAGCAGCTGTTTTCCTACCTCAGGGTCCAGAAGGTAATTTCTCCTAACCCAGAAATCAAATATGCTAGAGCCAGTGGCATCTTGCTGCTCAGAAACAGAATCTTCATTGATGAACTAGCCCCACTATTAATTACAGCTTACCAAAAGCTTATGTTTGGGTTGATGACATGGATTTCAAAGTCAACATTCCACTTTTAAGTCTACCGGGAAAGAGAATATCTAAGCACTTTTCCTATCTATTAAAACACTAATTAAATCTTTTAATAGACATGAAATGCTTTCATATACATTAAAACAAAAAACAAAAAACAAACAAACAGTTTTTCAAGGTTACTTCATTGAAATATCATTATGCCCACTCTATAGAAAAGGCTACTGAAAACTCCAAGCAACTTAGCATCCCCCAGGTCTTCCCCCAGCTAAGAGCGACAGGCAGAATCGCAATCGGTTCGCTGGACAGAGGCTCTCTCAACTCTGCCAAGATGTAGATCAGAAGCATCTCAAGTTTCTCCTCCCATAACATGTATGAGGACCACTTACTATCACACCAAGAGCCCCTCCCCAGTCTAGAAACCCCAGAAATGCGCAGAGATCCACGGAGCACGGACGCATGCATCAGGGGCCCATTCCAGTGCCTCGGGAACACAAAGGACAGCTAAGGAGCTGGAAGCACCCACCGTTTCCTCTGGGAGCACCCACCGTTTCCGCTAGTCTGCATGAGCAAAGTGAAGACCTCGTTTAACCATCTTGCTTGGCAAACTATTCTGACGAAAGAACTAATGAGGGTCGCTCAGGTCTCTTTTGCTAAAGGGTCGAGGGGATGGGCTATGATACTATTTGTTTTAAAAGACAAAGGTCAGATCTTATGAAACTACAAGGAGAATTCTGGCTTCTCGGTGTGCGTGACATCATCTTGTGCAGCTGGCGGGACACGGTCTCCAATCTGGACACAGATGATTAGGCACTCGACGGCCATGCATTTTCTGTGAGTATACAGGGGGCGCTTTTCCAAGTGGCGCTGCAGCATTTCTGAGCAAAGGAGCTGAGAATAACTTCAGTCTTGTTCTTTGCATGATAACATGATTCAAAAGGATCATAATGGTTCCTTACATATAAATGCACTTTACAGATTACAAAGTGGTTTCACAGATAAACACTGTAGGGTTAAAACAAAACAAAACAAAACACCAACAACCTGAGATTAAGGGGAAAAGCTCAGAAAAGGGTCTAACCATTTACTTGCCCACCTTTACACTGTAGGTTAAAAAAGGGGGAGAGGGAAAGGGTTCTATATTAGAATTGAAGTCAGGTTCTTGAAGTTCTAACTGTTCCTGGTTATCAATAAAAAAGTCAATGCTTTTTAAATTAAAAATGAGGTGCTGCTACTTACGACTTGATAAATTATAAAATGCCTCTCCCATCCTTCCCAACGGTCCTGTGTCCCACTGCTACCCAATTCTAGATCTCCAGCTCATATGGATTACACAACCAGGGGTAGGTAATGAGAAAAAAGGTGAACAAGCTAAAGAAAGCTCATTATGTTTTGAAGCGGATGGGTGTTTTTGGTGGCAGAAGTTAAGAAGGCTCAAGCCACACATTGTCCTTTGAACCTACTGTTCCCAGCAAAGTAGTCAGAACACTAATGTATCAAGATCATCCTAAAATAAGCCCCACCCCACCCCGACTCATGCATTTCAGACCACTGTGCCATACTACGCGGCTAACCACAAAAATCTCCCACATTCCCTGTGTACAACCTCTCAGTAGCTCATGTCAGCTCAGGAGGTCAATCATTATTAGAAAGTGGCATTTTCAAGGAATGAGTTTGATTGCAATTAATCTAACCAATCTGGCAGACATTACTTAATCCATTGCTTTTCCTCAGGGATGGCTCAAGAAAACACTTGGATACACGGACTAGTGGACAAACGATGTGCCCGCCGTTGTGCTGGCTCAGAGGATTTGGCAGTTCTGACCAGCGCTCTGCAGCTCTCTGCGGTGGGAGCCACACCTGGCAGGGTTGGCCCATACAAACTACAGGAGAACGCTCTAAGCCTGGGTTTGTCAGCGGCGGCAATCTGTGCATCATACAGCGAGAACACTGGAGGAGAACTCATCCAAGCTGACTCCAAGTACGACAAATACTCCTTCCGGCAAACATTTCCTAGAGGGCAACGGCAAGCCAACCCTGGCTGCACAGGAGAATCACCTGGGGCATGCAAACAAGCAAACAGAATTCTGTGGCCCGGTCGGCATCTGTAGAGGTGGGGGCCTAACCCTGGTGTTTTTGAAAACTCTCCAGCTGGTTCCCAGGTGTTGCCAAGGATGAGCGCCACCACTGCAAGGTGCTTCTAACAATATTTGGGCTTGAGCTAAGCTGGTACGGGCTCACAGAAGAGTAATCAGCAAAAAAGCACTTGTGGAGGGGAGCCCAGTGTTCTTTCCTCCCTTGAACTATAGCTGAAGAGTGCTTTGGTTGTTTGGCATGGTTTGGGACAACCCGATTTGCCACGGTATAACAGAAAGGCTATTTGAAATGCCAGTCTTTGATTTTTCTGCCCCCCAAAAAGAGGCACAGTGGTATTTATTCAAACCTTACTTTGTGAGAGCCTGGAACTTGGCCACAGCAAACTAAATAAAAGATCCAAATGAAATGTCATGAAATCCAGGGGCGATTCCATGTCAGGAGAAGTGTGGCACACACTAGCAGCAACATTACAACAATGGGATGTCCACAGCGTGGGAGGAATCATAACTATTATAAACCTGAGGGAGCTTCCAGAAGCTTCAGTAAACCGACTCTGCAAATTCTGAAGCAAAGAGAGCACCAACAGTGAGGCTGAAATCCAAGGGAGGCCGTCTCTATCATGCCCAGGTGACCCAAGGCCCTCTCTGGCAGCAGTTCGCTCTCCTCTCTCCCTCGGCATGAGGGTTTAAAGACAGGGCCCCAGTCCACAGTGCTGGGGCAGGAGACCTCAGCAGTGGAGCCAAGGGAGGTGTTAGGGAGACTGTCCAGGTTTGGATCACCTCCTGACTTCGAGTGAATGGCTGCGGTGCGCTGGCATTTATAAAATGAAAATATGATTTATCAGATCGTTTAAGATGCAAATTGACTTGAGACACCAACATACTCCAAGAATGCAACTTACCTGCTCGGGGCATGGAAAGAGAGTTGGTAGGAGCAAAGGATCTAAAGAAGTACTCACTGGGTGTCTCTTCTGTTCCTAAGTGGGTCCATGAGGCGCAGCGTGTCTCTGATCACAGCCACTTTCACTTCTTCATCCACAGCACTGGGGACATGCTCAAACACCCCTGGAGAAAGCTTGAATGGATAGGGATTCCGAGTTACAGGGAAATCAGCACCCAGTCCTACCACTCGCCCAAGCAGTTGGACTGTAGGCTTTGTTAGACTATAGAAACCCGTTTGTAAAACATCGCCCTTGATACCGCTTTAAAAATGACAATGTCCTCAGAATTCCCACCGCAACACGGGACCAAGCTGAACAGGCACACGCAGAGACTTGCCCTCCCCAGCAGGGGCTTCTCTTCCCACGGCTTGGGCCGTTCTACTTTTGCTTATGAAAAACCCTGGGCTGCTTTACTTTTACTTCAGAAAGTAACAGTGGCCTCTTTGTTGTTGTCGTTAGGTCCCATGGGGTCAATACAACAGAAGGCAACCCTGCCTTGCCCGGTGCCACGCTCACAGTTGCTGTCATGTTTCAGGCACTGTGTCAGTTCACTGGAAATTTTAAATGCGTCCAAGGTGCATTCTTATTGCCTATAGGGAATGAGTTCATTCAATACTTCTGTAGAAAACGTTAAACACCATTGTAAATTCTATCTGGTGAATCATGGCTCAAATTAAACATGTTTGCTTTCAAAAAAATGATAATGTCCTTTGATAGAGCCAACAAGATACAAAGAGAAGGAAATTAACATGATTTCCCCCCTGATTATCAAAATTATACATGCTCGTTGTAGAAATTTGGAAAATATGAATGTAAGACATGGGATAAAAATGAAAAGAATTTAAATAATCCCCCTACACCCAATACTAATATTTAGTGTATTTCTTCCAGTTTTTAGTGGACATTTGGGGAGAGGGGAGAGAATAATATAACCACTCTTAAATGTACTGTTTATTTTGGTGATTCAAGCATGTCGACATGGTTAAATCATATCCCTAGAATTTCAATTAGCTCATCTCCTGAGGCTAGCTAATTAGTTCACGTCAAAACTGATGGAAAGGCCCAGCTGCTTCTTAAGTTTCCAGACCTGAAAAATTGGAAGAATGGCATGCTGGGAGATTACCATAGGTCGGATAGGTCTTATATTAATAGACTTTGTTCGGAACTCAACAAGACTAAAATTATTTAGAGGGAATAGAATTGTACCGTCCAGATTCGGGAAGGCTGAATCTCGTGTACCCCTGAGAAAAGCAGTGAGTGGGAATATGCAGTTGTATGGCAGGGTGTTCAAGGCTACATCCGGATACTCACTTCTTGCTCGTGTTCAATCCGCATGCTGGGATTTGCGTTTACTTCAAGTAGCATAGGCTTCAGGTTTTTCATCAGAAGGATGTCAAAGCCTAGAATCTGGGCAGGATAAATGGAATTTGGAATTACTCCCCATCGCCGCAATGTCTTTTCAGGAATTGAGGATGGTATTTGGGTCATAAAGGTGAAAATAAATTCAAGCTCAGTTTCTAACCTGGACCTTGACCTTGGCGTCTCTAGTCCACTGTCCCTCTTCCTCTGGGTGCACTTGTCAGAGCAAATGGACAGCGGAAAATCTTATAAGAACCTTGATAATGGGAAGAGTTCCCACAGTGCATTTCAGCACTATCAGTGTCATCTCGAGTGCCATAAGAGAATGACCTCTTTCTCCTCTAACAGGTGTTCTATTATGTTAAGCATCAGTAGCAGTCCATCAATTTCTCCCTCTGCCTTTTCTTCTGCTTCTCTATTAAGGTGCTTCATAGCTAGAGCTCTGAAAACCCAAGACCACCTTTCTGAGCCTGGGGCTTATATATCAGTATCCAAGTCACCATCCCGCCTCCATACAGCCCACACCTACTGAGTCAGAATCTTTCAGCATCAACTCAGGTAGATGTATTTTGAACAACAACAACAAATTCCTCAGGTGATTCTGATAGACCTTTATAACTGAGGAGTCAAAAGCACTGCCACCCACTTGATTCTGACTCCTAGTGACCCTACAGGACACAGTAGAACTGCCCTATAGGGTTTCCAAGTCTATAACCCTCTCTCCATGGAATGGCTGATGGATTCGAACTGGTGACCTTTAAGCTAAAAGCTGAGCACTTTAACCACTGTGCCAACAGAGGTCCTTGCTGCTAAGGAGAAGGAAATGTTTATCAGGATTACGCAGTACATTTTTTAAAAATCTCATTTCATCCTCATGGCAATATATTTGAAGTAGGGATCATGCTGTCTACTTTACAGAAGCAGAAACTGACTCTCAGAAAGGCTAATGGATTCCCATCTAACTTACAGATGACAAAGCTGAATTTCACACCCAAGTGGATTGGTTACACAATTTGTGGGATACAGCAAAAAAAGATGACAATGTAGGTTCCCTTGTTAAAAAATGAACAACTTCACCGTGATGACAGCAGAGCATTAAACCAGGTCCTTCTGATCTAGGGGTCATGTAGTGAACCCAGAGACCAAGGCTAACTCCAGCACTACTTGTCAGATATCTATTCTTGGATCTTTCAGCCATGCTGACCTCTCTCAACTCCTCGAGTCCCATGCTCAGGGCAAGCCACCTGCTACGGATTGAATCATTTCCCTACTCCCCCAAATGTATTCTAAACCCCATACCTGTGGTTCTTAGCCTATTTGAGAATGCGCACTCTTCATTATGTTAATGAGGTACTACAAGCAGGTGATTATAACAGTCAGATTTATTTCCACAGTTTAGGTGACTAGAAGTCCAAGCTTTCATTACTGTGCAGACCCGCAAACCAAGCCCATTGCTGTCAAGTCGATCTTCACTGGAGGAGAACTGCCCTGTGGTGTTTCCAGGGTTGTCAGTCTTTGTGAGAGCAGACTGTCACCTCGTTGTCCCAAGAGGCAGGTGGTGAGTTTGAACCACTGACCTTTAGGTTAGCAGTCCAGCTCTTAACCACAAGGCCACCAGGGTAGGGCGGGTCTTAAGTCAATCTCCTTCGAGATAGAAAAGAGCAGACTACACAGACTACACAAGCAAGCACAAATGGAAGGGAAGATCCGTGCCACACAATTGTCAAAGAATCTAGGAACAAAAGCGAGAGAGAGAGAGAGAGAGAGAGAGAGAGAGAGAGAGAGAGAGAGAGAGAGAGAGAGAGAGCTTTCCCTAGAACCAGCAGCGCCTTGGATTCAGACTTCTAGCCTGGCAAACTGTGAGGAGAGAAATTTGTTTGCTAAAGTCACCCACTTGTGGTTTTAACAAACAGAAATGTAGAGTGGCACTAGGTAACCAAGACACCACCCACTTGATTCTTCTTATTCCCTTGACCTGAAACCCTTCACCTAGGTAACTCCTCCTCATCCTTGAGACCCTAGGTCCTAATTCCAATGTACTCGCAGGGGGAACGAAATTAAGTTCTTGGGAAGACTCCCCTTGTCTCTTTAGAAAGTGATAACTTTTTGAAAAAGCTCCCAACGTCATTGATGCAGCCACAATGTTGTTTGTTTGTTTGTTTTTTAAATAATGCGGATAATAAAAGAGAGAAAGGAAAAAGATATGATTATCATTTCACCTCCTCTGTCAACTCAAGAAGGAAAGATGAGTGAAATCCATCTACTTGTCTATGTGCATTAGTTAAATGATCATTATGAAATCGAGCTTCATTCTTATTAATGAAATCAGAGCCCAAATGACCATTTTTAGATGTGGTTCCAGATGAAGGTATTCTTCAGCAAAAAGCAATAAGGGTGAAGAGTCGGAAATAGTCATCGTCTCTCTATTTTTCTTTCTCTGGTCATGAAAAGAGAGGCGTGGAAATTCAGCAAGAAATCTCACATGTATTACAGATCTGTTGAATAATACATGCTAAGTGGGTCTGAATGATGAGGTCTTTAAGAGACGCTGGTGACATCATCAGTCTAACTTCAGCGCTCGTCTGAAGCATGTGATGCTGATGAGGCTGCAGAGAACCGGAGGCCAGCGGACTAACATCTGTCACCGTGAGTCATCAACTCTGACTTTTTTGCTACAGCTTAGAAGTTTGGCCTGTGCTTTCTCGTCCTGGTAGACTCTTCCCCCTTCGGGGCACAGGGTACCCTGTGTGCACAGCTATAGGAATCCTGGGAGCAGGAGCACCAAGCCCAGTGCCACTGAGTTGCTTCTAACGCCTAGCATCCCTGCATGAGGTTTCTGAGACTGTAAACCCTCACAGGGGCCGACAGCTTCATCTTTCTCCCACCGAGTGGCTCGTGAGTACGAACCGCCGATCTTGCAGTGGGCAGCCCAGTGTCTAACCATCAGCATACCAGGACTGGGGAAGGGGTGTTGGCAAAGTCTCATCAGCCACAGGGCCTGCACTCACCTAGTGGCCTATTTTCCAGAACCTTAATCTTGGTGCATGCAATTAAATAGATTTGCTCTGATGCAGCAATGCTTTGGAGACCAAAAAACACCTTGATTCCAATTCCCGCTGAGTCCCTTATACTAACTAGCTGACGACAGAGAATGGGCTTCGTCTCTCTGGGCTTCAATTACTTCATATGAAAAATGGGGATATTAATAGCCGCCTTCCAGGGCTGTTGACAGAATTCAGTAAAGCAATGGAAGTAAACGGTATCTAGAACTGTGCTTATCAAATAGAAGCGACTCAATATACACTAGCTCCTTTTCCAGTTTCCGGCTAGCCTCCCCATAGGACATGATGCCAGTGCTCTGGAGCCCAGAGAAACGAATGTCAGGTTTGGGTCCTACCTTTAAACTTGTGCAATTAAAGGCAAGTTACTCAGTAAAACGAAGCTCTACTTTCCTCATCGGTAAATGAGAAAATAAGAATAGTCCTTATTTATCCTGGTTCCCTTCTCCATAATGTCTTGGGTAAGCAGGATCAAATAAAGATAGTGTAATGTAAAAGATTTTGCACAGTACACACACAAAAACCAAACTCACTGCCAAGGAGTCGAAGCTGACTCATAGTGACCCTCAGGACAGGGTAGAACAGCCCCTCTGGGTGTGCGAGACTGCGACTCTTTGTGGAAGTAGAAAGCTCTGTCTTACTCCCACAGAGTGGCTGGTGGTTTAAAATTGCTGACTTTTCAGATCGCAGCCCAATTCATAACTGCTGTGCCACCAGGGTTTTTTGTACCATACCTGATGCATAGTAAGTGTTTGAGTAAGGTCAGCTACACACCCCCACCCCCAGCCCCACCCCCAAGCCCATAGAAAGTTCAAGAAGTCTGGATGATTCTTTTTTTTTAAGTTCAAGGAAATATGTAGCACAATGGATCTCAAACACAGAATCAATGCAGTCAGAGGAGCTTAGAGTTGATTTTATCATAAGATCCCTGAATGTCAAAGTGGGTGTGAAAGTACAAATTTATTTGACCCATTGTTTTCCTGCAGGCAGAAGCAAAGAAGGAGCCAACCAGATCAACTTAACTTTATCTATTTTACATACTGAGAGTCCAAGAAAAAAAACTTAACTTTTTTTAAAACCACAAATCTAGTCTAACACCCACATTATGCAGATCAGGGACCTGTCGTTTAGAGAAGAGAAACCCTCTTTCTAAATCCCTCCAGCAGGAATGATTATAGATAGGGAAATTTTCAACCATGCGACACTCTGTTTCCCCAAGTATTTCGCTTGAAGGAGGGTCCTGGAGGATTCAAAGACATCTGTCCTTCATCTCTGCCATCTAGAAGCTTCTGACCAAGGTGGAGGGAAAGAGCCTTGAGCCATTAGTTGTAAACTTAGGCGAAGGTCCCAGGCAACATTCCATCTAAAGGTGGTTCTCTCTTGAGCCCCAAATCTACATATCCATCTTCATCTGGGGTCCTTCCACTTAGGAGACCCAAATCCACTGCCATTGAGTCAAATCTGACTCAACGAGACCCTATCCAGGGTCTCATTTGAGATTGTACATCTTCATGGGAGCTGACAGGAGCCTCGTCTTTCTCCCATCGAGCCGCTGGTTGGTTTGAACTGCTGAGCTTGCAGTTCTCAGTGCTACAGATGCCCCAAATTCAACAGATCCAAACTATCTCTGGTCTAAATGGTCCCCGTGACCCCCATTTTGCGGTATTCGTGTTCCTGCATAATCTCCTCCCCTTGCGTGTGGACTAGATTTAGTAATGCTCTCCTAACAAGCAGTCTATGGCAGGGAGGCTGGGACATTGCTTCCAACAATAGGTCACAAAGGGGTTATGGATTCTTCTTGTTCAGAGCATGCTATCCCATGTTCTTGCTTTCTCACACTGAGAGAAGCCAGCACCATGTTGGAAGTTGTCCTGTGCAGATGCTCAGGCACAAAGAATTGACGTCTCCAGCCATTGGTCAGTGAGGCCTGTCAGCATGCATGTGCATGAACTTGGAAGAGGGTCTTCCCCCAGTCCCATCTTCACATGA